TTAATTAATATATTTTGTCATAACCTAATTTTGACCCTTTGGCTTTTAATTTAATTTTTACAGGGTTTAAGATGAAAAATTAAAAGATCAGAGATTTATTTCGATGAAAAGTGTGATTTGTCAACTTCCATGAAAATTAAGGACTACAATATGCCTTTGCTATTCTAGCCTTATCCTCAAGATAATCCTTATCTTCTTCAAGATAGTCCTCAAGATAATGATAGTTGTCTGCTTTCGAATTCGATTCTAATTCGAACTTCAAAAAAAAGAATGAGTTTGATTGAGACTTTACTTTTCGCAAGTGATGAGACTCTTGCACTATAAACACAGATCTCAGGGGGGAAGGAAAAAAGGCCCTCCACTGTCATTATTATCTTCAATTGTAGAACCAAGTAAGTTGCTCTTTCCCTCCTTGCAGTTTAATTACATGCTTCCTGTAGCAGACGTGGGTGAGCAATTCACGCACGCCTCCTGGTAAAAATTAAAAAAATAATAGCTAGCCGAGTCAAGCTTGTGACCTTGCTAGGCCTATTGGGTTCAGTCCAGCTCTATAGGCTGAGCTGGGCCCAACCCAAAAAAAATAAAAATAAAAAATATGTATGCATGAATAAAAATAATAAAAATTTATTGATTTGTTCATTGACGCCAGAGTCAGGAATAAAAATACCAATTTAAATTTATATTATTTTTATTCGTTGTATTTTATTTTATTTAGCTAGAAAAATAAAAAAAATATGTGCACGCGTAAAAAAAAATTTACTTTTATTTATTTATTCACTGACACCAGAGTCAGGAATAAAAGGAAAAAAGGATGATTTAAATTTATTTATTTTGATACCTACGCAATATTTACCAACGCCAGAGTTGGAAATATCCGTAGTTGAATATTCACTGGCGCTAGACTCAGGAATATTACACACAAACAATCATAGTATAAACCAACAAAAAAAATGTTAGCAATTAAGGACAAAGATCAGCAATGCAGCCTGCCTTAGGTAGGACGTTTAAGGGGTGATAATATCTTCCCTTTTACGTAACCAGTCTCGGACCATAGAATCTCTGTTGACCAGTTAGGGTTTCTAGTAACCATAATACTAGGTGACGACTCTTTAAACAAAGAATATCCTCATTAAAGAACAGGATGCCAAAAATTCATTCTTTCCAAAGATTTAAGAAATTTTTAAGGCCGCCGCGATGTCGGGTGCGACATATTTATATATTTAATTTTTTTTCTTAACCCGAGAAATTTCAAGATTACAATAAAAATGTTGAAAGAGAAAAAGAATCTAGAGGCCACTTTCCATTAAAAGAGAAGAAAAATCTTCATTTTTTTTTTTGGATTATGAAGTATAGATCATTTTTCCTTCATGTATTAGTTGTAGATGAGGTTGGTAATGATATTAGTGGTAGTTATAAGATGAGGGTAGGCATTATGGTGGCAATGATTGTCGGCAATGATTGTGTTGGGGTTGGTAATGACAATGGAGGTGAAAGTGATGTGATTGTAATGATAATGTTAATAAAAAGAAGATAATTATTATTTATAAAATATTTTATTTAAAATTTATAAATGAAAAATATTTTTAAAATTATAAAGAAAATTTGAAACTAATTATATAATATTTTGAATTAAAGCTAAAAAATTATTCATACATTATATCATTTTTAGTCAATATTTTTGTATAGTTTTTTGAATTATTATATCTTTTTATAATTATTATATGAAGCTATTTAATATTATTATTAAATCAAGTTAAATTAAATTTAATTAATCAACCTTTAAACTACCTAACTTGATTCTTTATCTGTATCATATTTAAAATTAAACCAAGCAGATATGTAGTAAAAAAAATATTTTTTCTTTAAAAAACTTATATAAGTGACTTACACAAAAACTTATTTTTTCTTGAAAACACTTTAATGGTGAAAGAAGGAAAATAACAGAAAAATAGGAATAATAATTAAAAAAAAAGACAGAGAAGAAGACAATAACCTCACACAAAATGACGCCAACAAACACGAAATTCAAAGCCCCATAATAATTATAATAATCTGCAATCTCCAAATCTCATCCAGCAGCAGCAACAGCTTCAAAACCCCAAAAGAGAAATAAACTAAATCAAACTACGAACTAAGCCCTAAAAGCTTCATGATCTCACCACTTGCATCGACAGCAACAGGATCATTCGTCTTCTTCGTGAAGAAACCAGGTAAACTGAACAGAAAATTTTGAGGGGCTGAGTTACTGTTCTAATGTTCAATAAAAAATTATATTCCCAGAGCTCGAATCTTCTGCTGGCTCCACTAGATCTCAACTCAAGAATTGACTCACTGGGAGGGTACTCTTCACTAACTGCTATACTAGTCATTAATCTCAAGTTCTTGCAGGGAAGATGGCCCTTGGAGGCTCTGCTTGTGATAAAAGACGATCTAGCATAAAACCATTAACTCTGTCCTTCGACTAGATATCTCTTTGTATATAATAATTAATCATATTCTTTTCCTTTTCTTCTTTTACTGTTAAATTTCCTTACTCGTTCGTAAAAATATAAATCAAATTCAAGGATATGAAAAGACATAAATGTTTGTAAATGCACACTATAATCTCCAAGGGATCTTTACCGAAATAAAGGGAGCTTAATTTATCAACAACAAGTATTTTTTTTTCATGAAATATTTTATAGAAAAAAACCAAGTATAGAAAATCTAAAGAAACAACTGGGATTTCTAACGCCACAAGAATCTTTAGGAATGGAAATTTATTGGGCTAAATCATCAAATGGAATCCCTTATCGTCAAGCCTCATCGTCACAGGCTGAGTTGGCATGAGTCGTCAAAATATGTGATAAATAATTAAAGATTAAAAGCAAATATAAAATGAAATTCAAAGTCTAGATTCTCCTACCGTTGGTCATCTCTTCTGGGTTCTTGTAGCTGCTGAGGCGAGGAAAAAGAAAATAAAGTTAATTGCATCTTCCATGTTTCCAGAATCAATGTTCAAAGTCATTACTGACTGACTCAACTCAAGTTCTTGATTTTTAATCCCCATGAAGAAAATCAAGGCACCCAGTACATTGAACATTTTGATCTAGAAAATCAAGGCACCCAGTACATTGAACATTTTGATCTGGTTCAGGCCGGTCAGAACACACAAGTCTTCTGTCCACCAGACCACAGGGATTTGGTTTTTTCTTTTGCCTACCATGTTTTAGGAATTGTGTAATTTTGAGTTTTTTAAAAAAATTAATTTTATTGTAAAATAATATTTTTAGATTATTTTAATATGTTATGTAAAAAATAATTTTTAAAAATAAAAAATATTATTTTAAAATATTTTTAAATAAAAAAACACGAATCTATATTTATGGGATTTTTGACAACTAGACACGGGGCTTAACCTATATGGTCGTCGAGGGAAGCCCCGAATAATTACAGCATAGGGAATACAGGGATGAAATCAAGACAATTACAAGTAATGAGACCAAATTAATAAAATTTAAGAGTTGAGGAACCAAATACAGCATCGAACTTCTTTATAGAATCCGGTGTAAGTTCCTCAAGAACTCCAAATGAAGCCCAAAACAGAGACAGATCAAATTAAAGATTTGTTTTGGTTAAATTAAGCGGTAAATAGGTTATTCTTTGGTCTCCGATACTATAATTTAAATCTTAATAATACATGAATAAATCTCGTTAGAGGAAGCATAAGATCGGATTTTATGGCCGGGAGGAAAACTGCATGGCCATGAAGCTGAAGAGAATACTGGCAACGCCATATAAAGTGGTGGTCTATGGTACGCTTGAGCTGTCTCAGCGCCATATAATTTAATTCTTCGGTGTTTTTTTTGAAAAGAAAAAAGAAGCCAGCGAGAAAAAAAGATGTGGTTTCTATTACTTGATTGCTGTATTATGGTCTATTTGACAAGCCGGAAACGCTATACGATCTTTGATGAAGATGTGGCGGATTGGGAGGCCATCCATGCTTTAATCTTTCATTGATTAGCAGAATGGGCAGAGCAAATTGATGAGCACTTCATCAACACATGAATTGATCTTCTGCAGACTGCACAAGGCATTCACCTGTGAATTAAGCAGCTAGATGTCATTTTTTTATAATTTGTTTTCATTTTCTCTCTGTTTTAGAGAATGGTTTTACGTATCTAGGCCTTTTTCTAACCATCTCCTTGATGGTTAGTTGCTTGCTTTAATGTATCTTCTCGGTTTTCTTTTGAAAAGAACATGTGTGCAAAGTTGTATAATAAATGATAATATGCACAAATAAATTGATCTGTGCCTGAAATATACATGACAAGTTATGTGAGCTTGAACTTGAAAGTAGAGATTTTCCACAGATAATATATATTCGACATCAAATTTGCTCACGTAAAACCACAGAAGATACATTATCTGAACTTTCTGCTATCAGGAACATTTTAGTATCGAAAGCATTGTGGATGCAGTGATCAATGATTATGCAGTCATGAAGACCGATCGCACAGCCAGTTTCCAATAAATCGCCCAAAGGCTGACTACATTAAGGAAAGCAGCACTTTCGGAGAAAACGTTCACGCAAAAGCAAAAATCCCCTCGACTTGCGCTAAGTCAAATCTCTATCGGAGAATTTTCTCTTGTTTATACGTTCTCTTTTCTAGACAAATATACAGTATCATCATTACATAGAAATTTACTCGATATACTTGTTCACGATCCTCCCTTAAACTTTCAAAGTAATTGCGCACAAGAACAACATACTGACCGTGTTTTTGGCTAATCTATAGTGGGCCAAAACTGTTGATTTTTCAGCAATGGAGAACAGAAAAATAAGGTTAGTAGGACAAGCAAGTACCGGGTCGGCCTGTTTGACGAAGTCTAACTAGCTTGGCTTCTATGAAAGGAATTTACTTCGATAATGTAGTGGAATCAAGCCCCATCTACGTGTTCTCTTTGAACACTATAATTAGCCCACCTAGCCTTTCCATTTCATACCACAACTACACAAGCTTCTCATAGAGATCTCCTGCCTTCTCTCTACTTACAAATTGCTTGTTTGTTGTAACAAAAAAAAAAAAAAATACTGTTCCTTTGTTTCTTGTCCTGAGAAACATGCAAAGTCCAGTGAGGTTTTCAAGCTGCCGAGGAGTGGCCTTTGAAATCAAAACTCATGAAAATCCGTTTGCCATTACTGCACCATCCATTGATGAGCTAAAAGGCAGCATACGAACTTGGTTTCCTTGGCCTCTAGGGAGCTCCTCCAAGGTGCTCCCTTCTTCCATCATCAGGTCAACAAGTAGAGCTAGTAGCCATTTCTGTGATCTAGATCTTGATGGTGAAGATGACATTTCTTTGGAAGCATTAGAAGGAGGAAAAGAGGAGCAAAAGGTGCAAAAACTAACTCCATTTCCATCCGCAACTAAGAAAGAGCAGCCACCAAAACCTGCTCGAAAGCAAGAATCAAGATTGTCAGTTATATTGCTGGACCAAGGTTTGTTCACGGTATACAAACGACTTTTTGTCGTCTGCTTGACCCTGAACATCAGTGGTTTGGTACTTACAGGAACTGGGAAATTCCCATATGCAAGAAATAGAGCTACCCTTTTCTCCATAGCCAACATTCTTGCATTGACACTCTGCAGGAGTGAGGCCTTTTTGCGAGTTGTTTTCTGGCTCGCAGTCGAGGTCTTTGGAAGGTCTTGGATCCCTCTTCTAATAAAAACCACCACCACATCTCTACTTCAAAGTCTTGGTGGCATACACAGCAGTTGTGGAATTTCTTCAGTTGCTTGGCTCATATATGCCTTAGTCCTTACTCTTAAGAACAGAGAAAACACATCGTCAGAGATTATAGCAGTGGCCTCTATTATTCTTTCCCTCCTCTGCATCTCTTGTCTGGCTGCGTTCCCTCTCGTCCGCCATCTCCATCACAATGTCTTTGAAAGGTTTCACAGGTTTACTGGATGGACAGCTCTAGCTCTCCTCTGGACCTTTATCATTCTCACTACCTCGTATGACCCCAAAGCCAAATCCTATAGCAATGAACTAGGCTCCAGGCTTATAAAACAACAAGAGTTTTGGATGACAGCAGCAATCACAATTCTAATTATAATCCCGTGGATAACAGTGAGAAGAGTTCCTGTCAAAGTATCTGCTCCTTCTGGCCACGCCTCCATTATAAAATTTGAGGGAGGAGTAAAAGCTGGTATATTGGGAAGGATTAGCCCATCCCCATTATCTGAATGGCACGCTTTCGGTATTATTTCTGATGGGAAGACGGAACATATGATGCTTGCTGGTGCTGTTGGTGACTTCACCAAGTCCTTGGTCTCAAACCCGCCAAGCCATTTGTGGGTTAGGCAAGTGCACTTTGCTGGTTTGCCATACCTAGTGAATATGTATGATAGGGTTCTTTTGGTGGCAACAGGTTCTGGCATTTGTGTTTTCTTATCATTCCTTTTGCAGCCATGTCGAGCCAACGTCTGTGTACTTTGGGTGGCCAAAGGGATTGAACAAAACTTTGGCAAAGAAATTCAAGATATGATGAGCAGACATCCTAAAGATAAAGTGATTGTGCACGATACAGCAGTGCTCGGTCGGCCCAATGTATCTGAAATGAGTGTTGAAGCTGCTAAAAAATGGGGCGCTGAAGTTGTCGTTGTTACTAGCAATCCAGAAGGAAGCAGGGATGTTGTTAATTCCTGCAAAGCAGCAGGGATTGCAGCCTTCGGTCCTATTTGGGACTCATAGTTCAGTGATGATCGAACTTCGTATTTCAGTTTTTAATAGCCGTACTGTGTTTCTGTAGTGGAATGCAATGGTTACATATTCTTCTACTTTTTCGAAACGGGTTAAAGTGCTTTTTTTTTTTTTTTTGATTTATATGGGGTGTCCGGGCCAGCTTGCGCGCACTACGACTAATTCCCACGGCCCACTGAATATTTTGCAAACTCAGTAAGCAGGTAAGACACCGCAGGGGTAACAGGCGTGCACGCTAGGGCTCGAATCCATGGCAGTGGAAGGAGACAAACTCCTACCACTGCTAGGCCAATCACTGGAATGCATTATTACTTAATGCGTATAGTGTTGTGATAGTTTCATGGTTATAGTTTAAAAAAGTAAATTTTAAAAATTATAAATTGTAGGTGTTTTTTTTTTCTTTTACTAAAGTTTCAAGAAAGAGTTTGGAGCAAAACATAGGCCTCACCACAAAAATATATAAAATTTTAATTAGCAATAAACCCATGTTTTCCGTAAATTAACAAAAAGAAAAAGAAATTAAAAAAAAATTGAAACAAAAAATTGAGTCATCAAGAAACAAATCATTAACAGTATTTAGTTATTATCTTGAGATAAAAAAATAAAAATATGAAACGTATCTCTAATTTTTTTATTTTTATACTTTCTATTTTGAAAATAAATAAATTCACTTCAAAATTATCATAAAGATATATTTATTTTATTTTTATTGTTTATATCTCTTCAACTAAAACTAAGCATGTTTTTGCTCTTATTATTTATGTTTTTTTATGTCTTAAGACAATTACTAAATACTATTTTTATGATTTTAAAATTTATCCTATTAGTTAGTGATAAAAACAAGAGGAGTTAATCCTGTTATTTAGTCAAATTTAGCAAGGATCATTTACTTTATAATATATTTTATATTAGCATCTCATTAAAATTTTTCTTGATACACTTGAGGAACTAGAGGATTATAGGTGGACTTAAGCTCTAGCGACCACTTAAACTTTTTGAAATTTATATATATATATATATATATATATATATTATATTTTTAGCCCTTTCATTTTTATTTTTTTTTAAATTTTATATATGTCCTCTTATTTCTCTAACCATTTTATGCTAATGGTTCTTAGGCTCTCTCGCCTCCCAATCATTATCATCATTATTATCTACCTACCACTCTCTCTCTCTATATATATATATATATATATATATAACAAATTCATTAAAATTTAGAAACATATATATTTTGGTACCCTAATCTTAAAACCTTTTCAATATGCAAAAATTAACTCTAAATTGTAATGTTTTATATACAAAAAATATTCTTTTATCAAAATGTGATGTGACTTTTCTAGTTATTGAATGTCTTTTGAAAGCTATTTTTGTTACCACATATTCATTTCTTGTAATGGTCCCTAGCTTTTCTATTGATAAAGGAAACAAATAGTCTTTTATGATAAAGAAAATTGATTTGTCTGAAGAAGACCAAAGTGTTATATGGACATAAGCAAAATCAAAAGTATAAGATCAATTAATTGGGAGATGATAACACATCAATTATAGGTGGAAAGTAGTTGGGATTCACTAAGAAAGAAATGTAGTGCTTGGGATTGTTTTGAATGGATTTGTTAGAATCAGATTGGAAATTCAAAATCCTTACCTTTTAGATTTCATTTTGGTTATTTAAATAGATTGTTTGTTAGGTATGCATAAATGTTATAAGTGGATTTTAGTCCTTTAAGGCTCGAGTCACCTTAAATGATTCACTTAAAATTATTTCTTTTACTCTAGTTTTTATTTTCTTGTAATTAATTTTATTTTTATTCAATAAAATTATTTAGTTTATCTAGTTTTGTCCTTAATATTATAAGATTGTTACAACTTGGTATTAAAGCAAGACAAAACAGGGCTGATGAAACAAGGATGTCACAATTATTGAAAATAATCTTTAGCATGAAACAATAATAGAAAGAACAATAACAAAATTGACAGACACAACAAAAGGTTTTGAAAGTTCTTTAACAATTACAACATGTAACTATAAGGTTGACCAAATAGAGAAGGTACACAAAAAAGATGGTAGACTTCCTTCCTTGTACTCCAATAACTTCAGTTAATAGGCATTACCAGGCTATAGTAAATCATGTAGGAGATCAATAAATTCATTTGTGAGCAATGAAGATAGATTTTCCTTAGTCAATAGGGATGACCTAGTTAGATTGGTGTGTATTAAGCAAATAAATTCTTTAACCATCACAATACTCCTTCTCAAAATAGGTTATTCATGAAAAGTTTTCATATGAAATAAAGGGTCGTCATATGGTTTTAAGAGATGGAAAAACCACTATTTAGGAGTATTTTGTATAAGCTTTGCAAAATCAATTTGGGCAATGCATATATAATGGTCCTATGTTAATAAATCTATAATATGTTTCTATAAAAGAGAGTTATGAGACTTAATTTAAGTAAATCTCAAACAAAGTCAGAGACTTGTTAGATACATGTTATTTAAGCTATTTTTTAAGGGGGCTGAATAAGTAAATCAAGATCGAGGTTAGAATGTTAAACTTTTAGAATTTGGTTATAGTTTAGAGGTTATCAAGGATGTAGGAACAAAATATCAAAATAACTCACCCAAATTGGAAGCCCAATACTAGTGAAATCCTAATGAAGGGTTTTTCATTTGCCTAACACAAAGTTGATTCAAAATTTAATCTACCAATTTAGAAGTTAACACCGATCAAGATGAAGGAAAAAAGGGAAAAAAATTGTATTTCAAGTGTAATGGAAATTGGATTGAGCCACAAATGTGGAAGCTCACAATCATTTCTATTTGAAGAAGAAGAAGAAGGGGAAGCTCAACTGATATTGGAAACCTAATTTATTTTTAAAAATTCTTATATTGTTATTGAAGAGGTTAAGATATCCTATCATTTTATGGCTATAAGTCCTAATCTTAGGACCATGAGGGTTAAGACATTATTAATAATCAATCTATTATAACACTAATATACTTTAGCAACATTTATAATTTTATCTATTTAATGGTTGTTAAGAAAGTAGCAACTGGTGTTAAAGAACACAAGCCTATTGAGGTGAGGATAACATATGAGACTATACACTAGAGTGAAGGTAGTTGCTGAAGGTTCATATTTGAAATATAGGGGATCTATAGACATAGGCCTTGATAATCCACTTATGAGGATGTGATATGGTTTTTGATGTATTGTAGTTAAAAAGCTTAAGGCCCATCCTTTGAGATTTATCTAATTTAACTATGAAACTCTAATTGAATTAATAAAAAATTAGATTAAAAACATAGAAAAGTCCACAAATTAGATATTGATTATGGGCTAGGATTTATACATAAGCTTAAAAAAAAAGCCAAATGATTACTATTGTTATAAAGGACACCTTAACAAGCTTGATTTAAAATTGATAAGGAAAATATAAAACATGAGTCACCACCTGATTTTATGGTAACTAAAAGCGTTAACTGATCTTTGTAGATTCTCGGTTAGGGTTGGTTATGTTAAAGTGAAGACAAAGATCATTATAAAATATCATATCTAAGGTAAGATGCACTAATGCTTGATTTTAATGATAAGGGTACCTATTGTACTATTGCTAAAGTTTTCCTATATGCATTTTTGTTATTAAAGAGAAAAAACCTACCAAAATATAAGACACTGATCTAAGACTTGGGCTTAACAATAAAGCGTAATCTTCACTTTTAAAATATATATGTTGGATCTAAGAGGATGGTGAATGACAAATTTGGCTTTGACTTATTTTCCCTGAATATGTCCAAAATGAGCTTGAATGCCACCAATCATACTTAATGGGATTTTATAGGGTTATATATACCTAGCCTAGGTTTATTACCAATGATAACGTAATAAGTTTTTCAAGGAATAAGACAACTATAACACTTAAAAGGGGATTAATTACATATATCACTAATATTGATAAATAATGCGACTAACTTCAAATAAATTTAAAGTTCATAAAGTAAAGTGATAAAAGAAAAGAATTTACAAACTTGTTTTTAACATGGTTTGATAAGCCTATACCTACACTTTAAATGCCAATATATACTTGAGTATTTTATCCCTTTACTAGTCAAAGTTTAAGCGAACAACAATTACTTGATGAAATTACCTCACCAATATAAAGATTTTTATACCACTTGAAAATATTCTATTTTTCAAGCTTTTTCTTGATGAAATTACCTCATAAAAAGCTAGAGTTTTTACTTAATTCTCAAAGATTTACAAGACTAATTTTGTTATCACAATTAACTCTCTCAATAAAGTGGATAATAAAATTACAAGTTATAATATCTCTATATCTCACAAGATAGCATTTATATGATTTGAAGGTATTTATATATAGTGAAAATGATATGAAATACTATTATGCTAGATTATAAATGTTTAATAGGATAAATTAGTTTATAATCAAGGATTGATAAACTTGTGGTGTTTTTACTTTTATAATAGCTTATATATCATACATGTCTGAAATCCCTTTTTTATTTAATATATATATATATATATAAAGCTAGATATTTATAGCCATTAAAATCCCATTGATGACTCAAATAGTCGATCGATTTATATTGGTTAAGCCAATTAATCGACCGGTTTCTACAGAATTCTCTGGTGTTCATCACTAATAAATAAATAGTTAATCGATTCATTTGGTTATACCAACGGTTAACTAGTTAATGTAAAATTCTAGTTTTGATATATTAATCTATATGAATTCTTAGAATTATTTATCTTAGATTCTATCATATGATTTATCAATCCTTTAAATGTATACATAGTGTAGTATGTGATTTCATTTTAATTGTACTTTCAAGTAAGGTATAAAAATTTACATTGAGCACTTAAAATCAATATTTAATTTAAGTCTTCACTTTGCTTTTTTTTTTTGGATTGCTTGATTTATTCTTTTTTTTTTAATGAAAATTTTCATGCTTAATGATGTGTTCTTTAAATAAACTTGTTTAAAATTTATTCTCAACAAGGCATATTATTAGTCAATTTTTATTTTATTATTATTATTATAAAAATATACAAAAACATGAATATTTGACTTAA